CTGCGCCTCCCGCTGTCCCCCGAGTTTGCGGGGTTGGCGACGGGGCTCTCCTGAAGCCTGGAGAGTGAGAGGGGTCGGTGCACACCGACCCCTCTCACTCTCAAGGCTTCAGCGAAAGCCTGCATTCGCCCCATAGGACATACACACATTTCCCCTTCATTTTTGGAGGGGAAAAAGTGCGTCCTATAGGGCGAAAAATACGGTAAACAAATTCAGGCTTCAAGGAGAATATTTCAAGCCATTCTCTTAAGTGGTATTTGGCTTTCCCCATATTTATCTACCTACTTGATTTATAGAGCTGCCCCATAGCAGATGTCTTCTAGGAAGCCGGTGGGGTGTAGTGGTTAAGAGAGCCGGACTACAAACTGGGAGATCAGGGTTCAAACCCCCACTCCATTGTGAACCTCACTGGTTGACTTTGGAGTCATTTGCAGCCTCTTAACCCAGCTTGCGGGGATGCGGGTGGCGCTGTGGGTTAAACCACAGAGCCTAGGACTTGCCGATCAGAAGGTCGGCGGTTCGAATCCCTGCGACGGGGTAAGCTCCCGTTGCTCGGTCCCTGCTCCTGCCAACCTAGCAGTTCGAAAGCACGTCAAAGTGCAAGTAGATAAATAGGTACCGCTCCGGTGGGAAGGTAAACGGCGTTTCCGTGCGCTGCTCCGGTTCGCCAGAAGCGGCTTAGTCATGCTGGCCACATGACCCGGAAGCTGTACGCTGGCTCCCTCGCCGCAACCCCAGAGTCGGCTTCGACTGGACCTAATAGTCAGGGGTCCCTTTACCTTTAACCTACCTTGCACGGTCGTTATAGGGATTAACTTTGGGGGGGGCATGAACCATGTAGTCCTTGGAGAAAAAGGTGGGATTTAAATGCAATGAACAAGCTCTTCTGCGGACTTGCTTACGAAAGGTTGCGGTCTGACACCTAAAGATCTCCACGTGGTATGAAGTTTACGGCATGTAATGCCTTAAGAGAGAATATTATGAAAATGACATACAGGTGGTACATGACACCAGTCAAGCTTGCAAAAATCTATCATTTGCCCGATAATAAATGTTGGAAATGTAAACAAACGGAAGGTACATTCTTTCACCTTTGGTGGACGTGCCCTAGGATTAAGGCTTTCTGGGAGATGATATATAATGAAATGAAAAAGGTATTTAAATATACCTTCCTGAAGAAACCAGAGGCCTTTCTCCTGGGCATGGTCGGCCAATTGGTGCCAAAGAAGGATAGAACTTTCTTTATGTATGCCACGACAGCAGCAAGAATACTTATCGCAAAGTATTGGAAGACACAAGATCTACCCACCCAGGAAGAATGGCAGATGAAGGTGATGGACTATATGGAACTGGCAGAAATGACCGGCAGAATCCGAGACCAGGGAGAAGAGTTGGTGGAAGAAGATTGGAAGAAATTTAAAGACTATCTACAGAAATATTGTAAAATTAATGAATGTTAGAATGATGTTGGATAAGAAGTTAAGTGGTTTTTAGCTATAATGCTATAAGGAATATGAAAAATGGATTATTAACAGGTAAAAATTTAATGTTACAATATTTTAAGATTAAAGACTAGGATAAACAAAGAGGGAAAGGATTTGCTGAACTAACAAATTGAATTGGAATACAAAAAAGGGAGGTGTGAGGAGGTCCGGGAAACAAGCAAATGAAAGATAAGTAATGGAAAGATGGAATTGTTTTTAACTATTTTTATTTTGTATTTTTATTTTGTATTTTTTCATTTTGTAATACTTTGAAAATTTTAATAAATATCTTTAAAAAAAAAAAGATCTCCACGTGGTCGCAACTGGACCTGTGCCAGTCGCAAAACACACAAAGGATTCTTCGCACTTTTTTTCTTTAAAATATAAAGCAGCACAGAAATGAAACAATCTATTACTAATACAGCGGTACCTCTGGATGCGAACGGGATCCGTTCTGGAGCCCTGTTCGCACCCAGAAGCGAACGCAACCCGCGAACGCGATTCGCCACTTCTGCACATGACGTAATTTTGAGCGTCTGCTTCAAGTTAGCTCAGTTGGTTAGAGCGTGGTGCTGATAACACCAAGGTTGCAGGTTTGATTCCCATATGGGACAGCTGCATATTCCTGCATTGCTGGGATTGGACTAGATGATCCTCAGGGTCGTTTCCAACTCTACAACTCTATGTGGCGAAACCCGGAAGTAATGCGCCCCATTACTTCCGGGTTGCCACAGCACGCAACCCAAAAATACTTATCCCGAAGCTACTTCAACCCAAGGTATGACTGTACTAATTATTCACATGGACTATATTTTGAATTTTTTTAAAATGAACTAATTCCTATGCCCAACAAATAACCCAGAGATGCATTTTTAACAAAAGCATACATTCTACTCATGTAAAAGCACCAGGCAGGCCGCACAAATAACACAGAATGCATTTTAAATAAAAGGACACATTCTACTCATGTAAAAACATGCTGATTTCTGGACCATCCGTGGGCCGGATCTAGAAGGCAATTGGGCCAGATCTGGCCCCCGGACCATAGTTTGCCTACCCACGGTTAAAACTACTGAACTCGCTCCAACATGAGGCAGGGACCGCCACCACTCTCACATAGAGAAGGATCTGAAATATTTTCCTTGACACTGGAATTTGTTTTATTCTGGGTTGTTTTATCTGACGCTGCAACGTGTTGTTATAAGACTACTGAGATTTTTTCCCCTTGAAATGTAAAGCGGTATAGAAATGAAATTAATAATAATATTATAATAATACCCATTCATGGTGGGATGTGGGTGGCGCTGTGGGTTAAACCACAGAGCCTAAGACTTGCCCATCAGAAGGTTGGCGGTTCGAATCCCCGCGATGGGGTGAGCTCCCGTTGCTTGGTCCCTGCTCCTGCCAACCTAGCAGTTCGAAAGCACGTCAAGGTGCAAGTAGATAAATAGGTACCGCTCCTGCGGGAAGGTAAACGGCGTTTCCGTGCGCTGCTCCGGTTCGGCAGAAGCGGCTTAGTCATGCTGGCCACATGACCCGGAAGCTGTACTCCAGCTCCCCCGGCCAGTAAAGCGAGATAAGCGCTGCCACCCCAGAGTCGGCCACGACTGGACCTAATGGTCAGGGGTCCCTTTACCTTTTTACCCATTCATGGAGAGAGGGCAGTGGGTGGGCTATAAGCCACAATGGCTATGCCACAGTGAGAGACAGCAATGCTCCCAAATGCCAGCTGCTGGAAACCAAATCCTGCTCGCTGGTTTCTCACTGGTTCATCTGCTTGGCCACTGTGAGAACAGGATGCTGGCCTGGTCCAGCAGAGCTCGTCTTATGCTCTTAAACTAAAGTTTCTCCAACTGGCTGCAAACCTGAGCCAGACAGCTCAATTGGCGCATGGAGGACATGGAAGACGTCCATTTGTTTAGTGCTTAGTATGAACTGAACTGAAAACAAAGGTCCGTATAGTTAAAGCTATGGTTTTCCCAGTCGTGATGTATGGAAGTGAGAGCTGGACCATAAAGAAGGCTGATCGCCGAAGAATGGATGCTTTCGAATTCTGGTGCTGGAGGAGACTCTTGAGAGTCCCATGGACTGCAAGAAGATCAAACCTCCCCATTCTGAAGGAAATCAGCCCTGAGTGCTCACTGGAAGGACAGATCCTGAAGCTGAGACCCCAATACTTTGGCCACCTCATGAGAAGAGAAGACCCCCTGGAAAAGACCCTGATGTTGGGAAAGATGGAGGGCACAAGGAGAAGGGGACGACAGAGGACGCGATGGTTCTCAAAGCTACCAGCATGAGTTTGACCAAACTGCGGGAGGCAGTGGAAGACAGGAGTGCCTGGCGTGCTCAGGTCCATGGGGTCACAAAGAGTCGGACATGACTAAACAACAACAACATGAACTGAAGTGGGCCTTCGCTATCCATGCGCAGCAACATCATGCATCCTGCAGGCAGCCGGGGGTGGAAAAGCAAAGAAGAACTCCAGATACCAGTTGGGTGCATCTCACGCCAACCAGTTGCCACATGGATGCCCGCCAACAACCCACAGTCCAGGCGCTACAGGTTCGTAAAGGAGGGAAGCACTTACAAGAGGAGCTTTCTGCCCTCCAGAAAGTCCGCTGTCCCCAAAATCAGGTCCTCTGCATTGATGGAGAATCACACAGGTGGCGCAAGGCTGGTGCAATCCGGGATGAAGGGAAAGGAGCGCTTGCTCACAAAGACCTAGCATGCAAACTGGCTGTGGGTTGCATGGGCCCCAGTCACCCTCTCTCCCCACAGCAGCGATCCCCTTTCAACCTTCACCTCACCCGATTGCGCACTCTGGAAAGCCAGTGGGGCGAGAGGGAAGGCGGAGGCCTGTGGGGAGGGGGATTATCTGCAGAATCGCCTGCTTCCACCACCCGCCCCCCCCGTTTCTTGAGTGCACCGCATGGCACAGGCGCGCGCCCTCCCTCACCCCGCCGCTCCTCTCCTGCACGTCAGAAACGCACACGAGCCATTTTTATTTTAAATTTTGCAAAATCTCTTCTGTCTCTCTCGCTTGCCGTTTTGCAGCCCCGCCCAACGCTTCCGCGGCGCACCCTCTTCCGCGGCGGCGCCTTCCTTTTTTTTTTTGCAACCATGCATGCCTTTCCTTTCCGGATTCTTGCAACCCGACCTGGGGAAATGCAACGCGGACAACGGGGCGTGCATTGCAACTGCAGACGGAGCCTCCTCTCCCCTTGCACGTGCGCGCGAGGCGCCCTTGCTTTTTGCAGCACACAATGCCGTTGCCGGGCGGACAAGGCGCAAAAAAAAAAAAAGCAGCGATACGCGCGGTGCAGCAAACGATGCACAATGCAGCTGCACGGGCTTATTGCAATAGATTGCAAAATAGGTTTGCAATAGATTGCAAAATGCATATGCGCTGCAATGCCGTGAAACGCGGTGCAACGCTGATTTGAAAGGAAGGGGGGAGGATAAAGGCGGGGAGACCCCCCCCCACCGCCCCATGCACACAGCCCAGCTTCCACTGACCTGATTTGCCCGCTGCTTTGTAAGCCAGCCGGCCGCCCCAGCAACAACCACGCAGCCTCGCGGCTCCCGCATGCCAGACCCGGGGAAAAAGAGAGAGAGAGAGAGAGAGAGAAAGGGCGGCGTGTTGCGCGCGCGCGCGCCGGCCTCAGCGTTCCACGGCAGCGCGCGCCCGCCCGGCGTGGGAGGGAGAAACAGAGAGCCCGCCGGAGCCAATCAGCGCTCGCGAGCGCCCTCCCTCCCTCCTTTTCCGCGAAGGGACTGGAAAGGGGAGGGAGGCGGAGGAGCCAATCAGAAGTAAGGCGAGGGGAGGGGCAGTGGGAAAGGAGGGAGGGGGAGCCTCTCGCGCCTGCAGGCAGAAATCCAACAGGTCAGGCCAATCCCCGCCACAAACACGCAGAACCACACCAGAAATTGCACGCTCATTCACTCCCTCCTAAAGCATTGAAGTTGCAGTGGGTGGAGGCGGGTTTGACCTGTTGGGCTTCTGCCTGGCATATTGCTGTTAAAATGGAAGTGGGAAAGCCCCTGATTGTTATTATTTATATGTAGGTAGCAACAAACGCACACTCCTCAAACACAGAAGAACGTAAGTTTAAAGAAGGTTGGAAAACGTTTATTGAATATATGGGAAATAATTGCGTACAGCTGAAAACTCTGGCAGCATTCAGATAAATTCAACAGTGTAAACAAGTTTTGATGGATGCAATAATATAGTTTTTGTAAAATATGCAGGGATTTATGATATGTAAAATGAACCATGGAAAGAGAAGGAAGGAAGCCATTGATATCTTAAGGATGTAAAATGAATGTTTTAAGTTGCAGAACAGAAAAAAAATATTAAATATATATATATACAAAAAGAAGACGACACAGTGTTGGAGGCGTCTCTTTTAACCTGTTGGGCTTCTGCCTGGCATATTGCTGTTGAAAAGGAAGTGGGAAAGCCCTTGATCTTTTTTTAAAATGTAGGTAGAAACAAACACACTTTGCTCAAGTACTGAAGACACAGTTGATGAAGGTGTCTCTTTGAACCTGTTGGACTTCTGCCTGGCATATTGCTGTTTAAAAAGAAGCAGGAGAATTCCTGTTTTGTTTTGTCACAAGTAAGTAGCTGCAATACAGGGGGGTCACCATGTTATCTATCTCCCGTTAACAGAGTTAAATGGGGTGAGCAAATATTCACAGGCAATTTTCCTTAATTCTATTTTTTTCTCCTCTCTCACACACAACTTTTTGCACGGGGCTTAAGACAGAAGACTCTGAGGTTAGGACTCACCTGTCTTCTGTCCCAAACCATGTTGTCCCAAGGACTGGGGTGATGGAGGAGTAGGAGGAGAATGATATGTTTGCAAGTATCCTGGGGTTGATGGTGATGGTGGGTCTGGGGTAGTGTGACGCTTCTAGGATTCTGGTGCCGCTATGTTGGGTCAGCACCGGAACCAAGCCTTGGCAGGTCAAAGAGCAGCTAAAAAAGGAAATGAAAAGGGGGAAAGCGTTATAATTTCCTAAATTATGCTTGAGCGTGCATTGAGCGTGCATTTCCGATGCTAAGTGAATCGTCTCCATTGCAGGAGGGTCACTGCTCTGGAGGGAGAGGCGATTTTAAAGCCACCAAAGCTTTCCGCTTCAGGGCAGAGGGTCCTTGTCTTAGCCTGTCGGTCTGCCTATAAATCACGCCAAGTATCTAAAGCCTGGAACAAAGAGCCCTAATAAAGTCATAAGAAACGAGAACAGGCCACCTCGCCGCTAACTCCGTTCTGATTTACAAGTCAGACTGATCACGAGAGATTTGGTTTGCCGCACAGACTTCCATCTTTGGATTTTGCAGCACGGATTCTGACCCGGCTGTGCTGGCTTTCCAAAATGTTTCCAGGCTCAGTTCAAAGATGCGTAGACCTCTTCCCCTGTGACCTCGCCTGGATGCTTAGTTCGGCGTCGGAGGATCTCCTCCGAAATCCCCCTCTGGCAGGGCGAAAAGAAAGAGGGCCTTTTCGGTGGTGGCTCCCGGACTGTGGAACACTCACCCAAGGTGCTAACATTACTATTTTTTCTGGAGCCAGTTCAAGACTTTCCTCTACTCCCGGTCCCAGGCATGTTGTCCTTCCTCTTCTCTCCTTTTGCTTAATGGGTTCTGTTAATTCGTTGTTTTAATGGTGATCGTGCTGGTGTACTTGGGCAAGATGGGCTTAATTGTTGGAATTAGTGTGTGATTACTTTTGCAAGAAGCCTTGAGGCTTTTGTGACATAAGATGTTGAAGGAAGCAGTAGTAATATTGATATAATATAGGTTCAGAGAGCGACGTTTCAGTACTGGATCCCATTAATTTTGGTGGACTTGCTTCCAAGGAAACACGGACAGGTTTGGTTTCAAGTATGCTGAAGACTCGCTGCCCAATCCTATTCAGGCTTTATTTATTTACAGTGGTACCTTGGTTCTCGAACTCAGTCCATTTGACTCCCAAAACAGTTCAAAAACCAAGGCGCGGCTACTGATTGGCTGCAGGAGCTTCCTGCACCCAATCAGAAGCTGCGTCGGACATTTGGCTTCCAAAAAACATGTGCAAACCAGAACACTCACTTCTGAGTTTGCAGCGTTCGGGAGCCAATTTGTTCGGGAGCCAAGCCGTTGAGAAACCAAGGTACCACTGTATTTATTTTATGTATTAAATTTATAGCCCACCCAGGATCACAGAGCTGTTTACCGTCTGGAAACACAAAAAATGCATTATAACCAGTGCTTTTTTTTCTGGGGGGGATGCTAGGGAACGCATACCAATAAATATTTTGTGAATCTTTGTACTTTTGTCCATTTACTGTATTTATTTCCCTGATTTGAACTATAAAGTGGTGATCTTCTTGAGTCAAAATGAGAGTTGTTGTTCTTTAGTCGTTTAGTCATGTCCGACTCTTCGTGACCCCCTGGACCAGAGCACGCCAGGCCATCCTGTCTTCCACTGCCTCCCGCAGTTTGGTCAAACTCATGTCGGTAGCTTCGAGAACACTGTCCAACCATCTCGTCTTCTGTCGTCCCCTTCTCCTTGTGCCCTCCATCTTTCCCAACATCAGGGTCTTTTCCAGGTAGACTTGGAGCCTCAGCTTCAGGATCTGTCCTTCCAGTGAGCATTCAGGGCTGATTTCCTTAAGAATGGATAGGTTTGATATTCTTGCAGTCGATGAGACTCTCAAGAGTCTCCTCCAGCACCAGAATTCAAAAGCATCAATTTTTCGGCGATCAGCCTTCTTTATGGTCCAGCTCTCACTTCCATACATCACGACTGGGAAAACCATAGCTTTAACTATATGGACCTTTGTTGGCAAGGTGATGTCTCTGCTTTTTAAGATGCTGTCTAGGTTTGTCATTGCTTTTCTCCCAAGAAGCAGGCGTCTTTTAATTTCATGGCTGTTGTCACCATCTGCAGTGATCATGGAGCCCAAGAAAGTAAAATCTCTCACTGCCTCCATTTCTTCCCCTTCTATTTGCCAGGAGGTGATGGGACCAGTGGCCATGATCTTCGTTTTTTTAATGTTGAGCTTCAGACCATATTTTGCGCTCTCCTCTTTCCTAAACATTTTTTAAGAAGAAGGGAAAAAAAGCACTCATTATAACAAACAAAACATTAACCCCGCCGAAACAGCAAAGCTCTTCAGTTTAGTGCAACTTTATTCCCCAGTACTTAAAGGATATGGTCGTGTCTTGTATGTAGCAGCAGTTACGTACATGCAACCAAGGGAAGATGTGAGTGTGGAGCCCTGATTACCCAGCCAGCTGCCGCTGGATGATCTAATTTCATCCTGTCTGGCCTTGCATTGTTGAAGTTCACTCATTTTTGCACCCGAGGCAGACAACAGGCAGCTAAACGGTTCCACTGCTTGAGTCTGGACAGGTGCACTGGTCCTGTGGGTTACCTGAGAGGCGAGGTCCAAGTCCAGTTCGTGGTCAAAGGTGCAACATGGAGGCAGTCCGTAGTAGCTGAAGCTGGGTGCAGGGCAGGGAGTTGGGTGAAGTCAGGAACAGGCATGCAAGCAGGGAGCCAGGCGGGTCAGGAGCTCAGGCAGGGAAGCAGGACAGGGTGCAGACAGGAACTAAGGTAAAGTAATGGTAAAGGGACCCCTGACTGTTAGGTCCAGTCGTGACCGACTCTGGGGTTGCGGCACTCATCTCGCTTTATTGGCCAAGGGAGCCGGCGTACAGCTTCTGGGTCATGTGGCCAGCATGACTAAGCCGCTTCTGGCGAACCAGAGCAGCGCACGGAAACAACGTTTACCTTCCCGCCGGAGCGGTACCTATTTATCTACTTGCACTTTGACGTGCTTTCGAACTGCTAGGTTGGCAGGAGCTGGGACTGAACAACAGGCGCTCACCCCGTCATGGGGATTCGAACCGCCGACCTTCTGGTTGGCAAGCCCAAGGCTCTGTGGTTTAACCCACTGTGCCACCCACGTCCCACAGGCAGGAACTAGCAACCAACAATGTTGCTCTTGGGACTGGGGCGGGCTGGCTTTTATCTGCCCTGAGGCATAGAGCGGCCCCGATCCTCTGGTGACTCGCCTCTCCTGGCCTGGAGGCGAGCACTCCTCCTGCGGGAACTTAGTTCCCTCCGCCTCTATGCAGCTCAGAAGAGGCTGGAGGGTTACCGGACCCAGAGGCAACCTCAGCTTCCCCTGACGGGGCTGAGAGTGGAGCACTTGCAGGCAATGGGTCCTCCATCCCCTCAGGAGCCAGAACAGACTCAGCTGATGCCTGCACCTGAGGATCCAACACAGGTGAGGCCCCTTCAGGCTCATGCCCCAGCCCCGGCTCAGCTGGTTCTGGAGGTGGGGACTCCTGTGCAGGCTGGGATCCCTCAGGTTCAGCATCCGAGTCCGAATCCCAGGCCATCACAACAGGGACTGGAACGAGATGTTTTTGCTGTACATAGAAAACGTTAGTACATTAGTCCCCGCTGCCTCAGCCTTGTATACCCTGGCAGGCAGCAGCGTGCAGAACGACAAATCTTCGAAATCCTATATAGGCAGTCTTGCAACAGAGCTTCACTGGGGCGATGCAGCGATACGAAGTATAACTAGGGGAGAAAAATCTGAACTAGAAATGGGTTGATTTGCAGTTGCACCTCCTAGATGTTCACCTGTTCGTGGTGCAGAACAGGACCTACTCGGTG